TCTCTCTCTCTCTCTCTCTCTCTCTCTCTCTCTCTCTCTCTCTCTGTCACACACACACACACTTTTTTGGCTTCCTGTTTTCCTAACGAGGAGACTCTGTTGGTTTGGAGCTCTTAGCTCTTTTCTTCCATAACAATAACAAAATAAGGAGGAAGTATGGATAATGATTGAACTCCTGAGTTCTCCATCAGGTCACGTGATCACAACTGGGCTCTATGACCACCTTCTCCCGTGACCCATTCCATGTTCACTTCACCCTTAGCAAACATGTTAGTTGGTTGCAGTTTTTTCCCTCGGGTTAGTTGACTTAAACCTTCATTCCAAAACGGTCTAGGCCCTCAGCAGTCCCACCTGAATTGTGTTACTGGAGTTTTCCCGCTGACTTTAGTCACAGAACATGGGGACATTATGTGGCCCCATAAGGAAACTTTTGCATTCCAGACATTTTCTTTCTTACCCCCCACTATGTAGTGGTGACCCGGTTTCCCTTGATAACTTCAGTCGTGATAATAGGTCGTTTTTTCCTGTTGATTCAGAGGCATAAGGAGTCCAGAGTGGCTAGTGGCACTCTTGGTTGTGTCTCTTCATGGAAGCAGGCCACCTTTTGAAGCTCAGAGCTCCAGACCAACAGAGTCTTCCCGTAAGGAAAGCAGGAAGCAAAAATATATATATATTTGCTAGTGAACAAGTAGGGGATAATAGTGAGTGGTGCCACTCTCATCCTGCCCTGGGACTCCTGGACCCCGGACACTGGCAATTGGAAGAGGGAACATCCAGAACCAACTTAGAGCACACGCAGCACGCCAAGGGACATTGTCCCAGCTTGCCAGGTGTTGCCACCTACTTAGCATGTCACTGACCATTCAAAGGACTGTTCCACTGATCTGTCCACCCGGAGTGATGATGAGCTGGCTAAGACCAGGATTTCCATGGACACTGCTGTGTCTCTATTTGCTCCGAAGTGAGTCTCTGAACCAGAAACTCCGAGATTTCTATCTTATCCACCATTTTATTACCAGACCCTTAAAGGTTCTTAGTCCGTAACAGGATCTCAATGAATGTTTCTTGAGTGAGTGAGAATTTCTTAGCTAAAATGAACAAGAATTATAATCAGTTCCTTTGTAAGAACAACAAGTTTTCTTCAGAAATATTCTATACCCTTTCATAATAAGTTAAATGCATTTATATTTTTTTAACTGTGTTCCAACTGGACTTGGGAGAGCTCTACTGGTCTTTCCACTGTGTGTGTGCAGAGAATTAGATCTGCTTGGTTTGAAAAAAAAGGCCTGGTGTGGTGATGCACCCTGTAATTCCAGTGGCTGGGGAGGCTGAGGCAGGAGGATCGCAAGTTCAAAACCAGTCTCAGCAACCTAGTAAGGCCCTATGCAACTCAGCAAGACTCTGTCTCTAAATACAAAAAAAGAAGGGCTGGGGATGTGGCTCAATGGCTCATTAAGCACCCTTGGATTCAATCCCCAGTACCAAAAAAAGCTCCTTTGCCTTTACTCTCTATGCTTATGTAGAGGATCATCCTTAGGTTATAGTTTTCTGTTGAACAGAGATGCCACCCTTATTCCTTATTCTTCTTGAACATTTTACTCTTCCAGTTAATACATATGATCTATGTCAGCATGAGTTTTGATGTTACATATGTATTCAGTGGTATCCAGATGTGGTTATGGTTTAGAAATGGGATGTCTCTCAAAAGCTCATGTGTGCAACAACACAAAAAAGTTTAGAGATGAACTGATTGGGTTGAGAGTCTCAACATAATCAGTGCATTAACCCACGTTATAGATTGGCTGGGTGGTAACTGTAGGCAGGCAGGGGTGGCTGGAGGAGACAGTCATGGGGGGCATCTCTTTGGAGTTACATTTCTTCCCTGGTGAGCTGAACACTCTCTCTGCTTACTGAGTGGCATGTCCTGAGCTGCTTTCCTCCTCCACGCCCTTCCTCCATGATGTTCTGCCTTCCCTCAGGGCCAGAATACAGTAGAGTTGGCCACCTAGAGACTGAGGCTCTGAACTCCTGAGTACCAGGTAAACTTTTCCTCCTCTAAAATTGTTCTTGTCAGGTGTTTTGGTCTCAGCCATGAAAAAGCTGACTACAACAGATGTCAAGATTTGGGAAGATATAAGGAAAATCTCCCACCCATGTGGCATATTTTAGAACTTGTGAGACTCCTGATTCACAGAGATTTCGTTGCTATGATCAAGTAGCTGATATCTAGAATAACTAAAATAAGACTTTCCAAAGACAATCATGCACAGGTAGGGAACAATTCTTGCTTGCATTCTCTCTCTCCTGTAAACATAAACGTCATTGAATGAAATCTAAAGAACATTTATTTTGTACTCTAGCTCTGCTTCTTGTTGAAAAAATTTAAACATTCTAAAATGTGGTGCAGGTCACCCCAAATCAGTCACACCGACATTATATCATCTTTCCAAACACGAAAGAAACTTAGCATGGTCAAACTTCTAGATATTTTCTTGTTGGATTTTTGGGTTTAGGTCTTAATTTATATTGTCTTATTTGTTCTTAGAGGCAAGTCCATGATTGCCTTCCAGCTGGGCAGCAGCCAAAGGAGGGAATGAGCACATTCCTCCCACCTCAGCCTACAGATGGGCATCAGGGGTGATGGGCAGAACAGGCTGTGTCTCTAAATCCTGTGGGGAAGGGGGAAGTAAGTGACCTCAAATTTCCTGTATCTGCCCACATGATGCACTGCCCACAGTTTAGAAGTTTGGGGGCGTATCATACCATTTTGTTCTGATTCGGTGCATAAGAATCCAAGACTGAGGAAGGTGACATAGCATGCAATTTGCTGGACCAAGACTCTTGGATGCCACCACCTCTGGGAAGCCTGGCTATGAGGCTCTTCCTGATTGTTGCAATTCTGCTATTCCAGAAACCCACAGGTAATCCAGAGCTTTCCAGGGTCTCACTCAAACCAGCTGTGGGATGGCACATTTCCAGAGCCCAAGCGAGTTTTGTACTCCTCAGTATGGGAAAATAGAGTTCCAGGGAGGACAGAAGTCCAATCGCCAATATTAGACACTCCATCTTCCTTGGACCATCTACCACAATACTGTCCTTTGACATTAGTATTCCTAGAGCTTAAAGGAGGTTGTAATTTCCTCTAGCAATGCCTCATAATGAAAAGGAAAGAGCCCAAGGTCTCTGGTTACCTTTGCTTCTCTGAGTCCAGGATTTGCTGACACTCAGCTGTGTTTTCTTCCATTCGAATTTGCATTCTAGGCTATGATGCTACCAAGTGTGCTCAGTGGAAGAAGCACAAGCTCTGGAGTCAGGTTTAAGAAACAGCTTCAGTGTCTACTAATTTGTCAACTTTGAGCAGTGATGACTCTGTGGGCTTCAGTTTCCTCATCTGTGGAGATGATGACAACAGAAGAGGTTTCACTAAATGATATAACGTCTGGGACGCACCCAGCGTAGTGTTTGGCACATACAAAGAATTTGAAAATTAGTTTCCTATTTCAAAAACCAAAACTCTTATGTTCATCTCTTAATTATATAGGAATAGAGGTGGTCTATCCATGCCCCCTAAATATCCTAGGTTCTAGAATTTAGGATTGGAGGGATCATCTCCAATTAACAGAAGTCAAAATCGGAGTATCCCAATTCTTAGATCCCTGAAAGTATTAGGGTTACTAAAAGGGAATATACATCAAGGTAAGCAGAGTTCTGGGACTGAAGGTTGGAGGAATTCTTGCCTCTGGGGGAGAACGGGAAGTCATCGAGGAATAGAAGCGGTCCAAGAACTAGAAGGACCTCCAGATTAGGAGATGGGCATTGGCAGCAGAGCATAATACTAAGGTAAACAAAAGGGGGAGATTATGAAGGGAGAAGAGTTCCTTAACTAGATAACAGGAAAGTGATTCTTGGCCATGACAGTGGCAATGAAACCAAGAGCCTAGTTGGACTCAGCTATTAATACATAGTAACAAGTTGCTGTTCTCTGGGCATGGAAGGTGGGCACAGCACCCTGGAAGCATGCAGGAAGAGGCAGATTTGCCAAGGTTCCTGGATAGAGCATAGTTGTAAGGATCTCCTCATTTTCTCAAACAAGATTTGATGTTCTGGGCAGCATTTATCAGATATTGGAGGGAAGCCCCAAACCATGCAAGATCTAAATAAGTGAGTCAGTTAAAAATAAACACGGAGACTCACCTCTCAGAAAGTCCTCTTTGGGATATTATGAGACTACACCTTTTGGATAGTCCATCCCCATAGACCCTACCAACCTCCGCTGCCTTCCCCAGAACCAAAGCTGCTTCCAGCCTCAAACACTGATCTTTGGCTACTCTTCTCATCTATGCACAGAAACTGAACAACTTAAGAAATGCTGGGGTCACTACATTCAAGGAAACTGCAGGAAGGTCTGCAGAGTCACTGAAATACGGGAGGTGCTTTGTGAGAACAGGAGATACTGCTGCCTTAACATCAAACAACTGGAAGAACGGAAAAAAGTTACAGTGCGGCCTCGTCCCAAGCCACCAACATTTGCAGCCACTTTTCCTCCGTACAAAGATGTAGAAATCACACCTTCCTCAGGCTCCCAAGACAGACAATATGTAAATTAAAGTCCAGTTTTTCTGTTCGTTATTTCTCAACCTATTCCAATAAACTAAGTGGATGAGAATCACATCTTCTCCCTTCTGGTTTATTAAGCTCCAGAATAACCTTCAGACAGATTCTCATAAAGATTCACTATTGGTTTTCTGATTCATATATTCTTTCCCCGGGTGCTGAGCACTTCCTGTAGACCAGGTAATGAATTGATAAGGGCAACACAGAACCTCGGTTTAGAGGGATTACAACCAGTGCACTTAAAAAAAAAATCCACAACATGAAATACTGGAATTAGAAACTCAGGAAATTGACAATGTAATTTAGAAGCAGGGAAAGTGAAGCAAGTATTCAGTGGAAACCTGGTGGGTGAGTTCATGTTTAAGGTGATGCCTGGTGAGATATTTAGGATTTTTTTTTTTTTTTTTTTTTTTTTTGCTACTGGAGATTGAACCCAGAGGTGCTTAATCACTGAACCACATCCCCAGCCTTTTTTCGTTTTTTTTATTTAGAGCAGGATCTTGCTAAGCTGCTTAGGGCCTTGCTAAGTTGCTGAGGCTGGATTTGAACTTGCCATTGTCCTGCCTCAGCTTCCCAAGCCGCTGGGATTACAGACATGTGCCACCACACCAGGCTGATAATTAGGATTTCAACAAACAAGTGTTGGTAGAAAAGGCCCGGGAAAAGAGAGGCAGGAGGTTAAATATCAGAAAGAGATTTGAAGATATTATGCTGTTATCTTTGAAAATGAAGGACGAACCATTAATCAAGGAATTTGGGCAACTTCTAGAAGCTGGAGAAGGTTATAAAACAGATTTTCTCCTAGAGTCTCCTGAAAGAATGCAGGCTTGTTAACACCTTGGATTTAGCCCACTACAACCCATCCTAGACTTCTCACCTCTATAACTTTTTTTTTTGCAGGGGGACTGGGGATTGAATTCAGGGGCACACAATCACTGAGCCCCATCCCCAGTCCTATTTTGTATTTTATTTAGAGGCAGGGTCTCATTGAGTTGCTTAGTGCCTTGCTTTTGCTGAGGCTGCCTTTGAACTTGTGATCCTCCTACCTCAGCCTCTTGAGCCATTGGGATTACAGGTGTTGCCACTGCACCCAGCTCACCTCTATAACTTTAATACAATAAATTTGAGTTGTTTTGAGACACTAATATTAAAAAAATAAATAAAATAAAATAAAAAGACAATGGGGGCTGGGGTTGTGGCTCAGTGGTAGAGCGCTTGCCTAGCATATGTGAGGCACTGGGTTCAATTCTCAGCACCACCTATGAATAAGTAAATAAAATAAAGATCTATCAACAACTAATAAAAGTATTTTTAAAAAGTAAGGGAACATCAACAAATGGAGGGAAATCAGAAAACCCTGGGTATTTCAGGAATTATGTATGTATTTTGAATGAAAAACAGAATACTCTAAGGAGACCTTGGGGCAAGTCTGATTTCCTAAGCTCCCATGTGTGCACGGGCAGGGAGCAGGGAAAACCAAAATGAAGAGGTAAATAAATGACTACAACAGAAACTGGTCCAAAGTGCAGTCCTCTGAGATTTTATTGTTGAGTTGATATGCAAGACGAGGCAAGAATAATGCATGTGTCTACCCTGCTTCATTCTTAAAGATGTGCCTTTGGACACAATCAACATGAAATATTTCTCCTCTAACCACATTTCAATTCATTTTCCAGTTTTATTTCTTTTTTTTTTTATTTTTTAGTTGTAGATGTACACAAATACCTTTATTTTATTTATTTACTTTTATGTAATACAGAGGATCGAACCCAGGGCCTCGCACGTGCTAGACAAGCGCTGTACCACTGAGCCACAACCCCAGCCCGAGTTTTATTTCTTGTATCAAGTCACCATAATAATTTCAGGCATTTTTGAGATTTCACATGTTCATTGGCATCTCCCTCACTAATTAGTGACATATGTTCTTTTAATTCTCTTTTTATCTCTTATTCTAGGGCGGAGGCAAGGATTGTGCAAGATGAGCCTAGAGCATCTTGTACTGTAGAAAGTAAGGCAGAAATTCAGAAGGGGAGGATGTGAAAGGGACAGAGGAGTCGATGTGAGGGAACTTTCACTGACCAAAGTTGAGACAATCTGAGCCATAAAATTAATAGCATCGCCAGGTGCAGTGATGCATGCCTGTAATCTCAGCAGCTCTGGAGGCTGACGCAGGAGGATCGTGAGTTCAAAGCCAGCCTCAGCAACTCAGTGAGGCACTAAGCAACTCAGTGAGACCCTGTCTCTAAAATACAAAATAGGGGCTGGGGATGTGGCTCAGTGGTTGAGTGCCCCTGAGTTCAATCCCTGGTATCCAACCCTGACCCCCCCAAAAAAATGAATAGCCTGGCACCAGATCATAATACAATATATAAAATAATATCTGAGTCCATGCTAAACAATTGAACGAATTCATGACTTGGCAAGAAAAGACAGATCTCCCATGTAGAATTACTCCAAATAATTTATCTAGCTAGTCCTTTTCTCAAGGAGATAAAACTTGACCTCCCTCTCCCTTGAAGATGAGCTTTGCTTCCAAGGAAAAGAATATGGAAAGGAGGGAAGGGTAACCTTCCTTGGGGAAACCTGGCAGGAGAAGCCGTGTCAATGGCGTGAGCCTGTGGTATGACATGCTGCAAGTGCTCATCCCCTGTGTCACTCTCCTCCTGCATCCATGACCACAGATGAGCAATGAGAAACACCTGGGGGGAAAAAGACCTCAAATCGGATGAGAAGTTAATCAGAAATGTGTGATCAGACTGCACAAAGCTGTCAGATTCATCAAAATCAAGGACATCCTGAGAACCCGTCACAGGCCAGAGGAGCTGAGGAGACACAATGACCAGGTGGCATCCCAAATGGACTTCCAGGTTAGGATGGGGACACTTGGGAGACACTCCTGCAGGCCCAAGTGTGGAGTTTTGTTGGGAGCGATGCAGCTCCCTGGGACAGTGCACCTCGGGGTATAGATGTGAGTAGCAGAGGTGGGGTGGGGAGCAGGCAGAGCTCGCTGGACTGACTTTGCAATGTTTCTATCAATCTAACACTGTAGGGAGGGGAGCATGGGAGGGACAGACAACTCCAGACAGGGCAGAGGGGTGGGAGGGGAAGGGAGGGGCAGGGGGTTAGCCATGATGGTGGAATGTGACGGACATCATTATCCAAAGTACATGTATGAAGACACGAATTGGTGTGAACATACTGTGTATACAACCAGAGATATGAAAAATTGTGCTCTATATGTGTAATAAGAATTGTCATGCATTCTGCTGTCATGTATAAATGAAAATAAAATCTAAAACTGTTCTTAAACAAAAGTTTATTATCTTGGGAAACGAAACACAGAATCAATTGAGGGAGGATCTTCTATCCTCCGAAGAACTTCTCTCATCACTTCTTTATTAAATGCTGGGTAGAACCCAGTGGCAAGAGTAACCGGAAATGAATGTCCCTCTACAGGAAGTCTTAACTGTCATAGGTCACGTCTCTTTACAAGTTAAAGGGCAATTCGATCTTCTATTTCTTTTTAATCAATTAATCTTAAAATTAATCTTTTTAAAAGATTCTCCTGCTTGTGAGCCTGAAATATTTCATAATATCATCTTTTTACCATTTTTTATGTCTGTAAGTTATAGTGACATTTCTTTTTTCATTTCTGATATTATTTGTGTATTTCCTTTTTTTTTTTTTCCTGTCCTTGGTAACTCTCACCATTCACTTATTAATCTAATTAGTCTATAGGGAAAGCACTGGGAAGGCCTGGAGCCTGTGTCTACAGGCCAGGTTCACGGTGACAACCTAGAACTGCAGGAGCTGGCCTGGCGCTATAGCAGGCCTGAGGTCTGGGGCCACAGGGCTGGGGGCAGCCCCTATCCGAGGGGCCACTGGGGCCAGCCTGGCACCAGGGCCTGTCTAGAGCCGGAAGTCACTGGGGACAGCCTGGAGCTAGGCCAGGCCTAGAGAGTAAGCCGACCTTGAGCCCAGGCAGCAGGGTCTCATCGAGCACCAGGGTGGCATTTAGCTCAGTCCCCAAGAACAAGCCTGGTGCCTGGGGCTGCAGGACGAGGCCGGGCACCAGTGGGCCTACAGCCAGTGTCCTCAGGGACCAGCCCAGAGGCTGGGTCAGCAGGTGCCAGCTTGATGATAGGCCCTGGGCATGCCTAGAGCTGAGGCAGACCTGAAGTCAGGCTAACAGGAGGGTCAGGCAGTGGTGGGGCCAGGACTGGACACCAAGGCCCTGGGAAGGCCTGGAGCCTGAGGCCAGGCTGTGGGCCTACCCTGGACTTTACTGGGCAGTCCTGCTTTGGGGACTGCAGCAATGTCTGCTGCTCATTTCTCACTGCTCCCCCAGAGGTGCCCTCTCCCCGGTGCTGCCTGAGGACAGCTGGGGGAGGAACGTGTGAGCAGTGTGGGATGGTGAGACCGTCCCTTCTCCCCTTGTCTGATTTCTGTGCTACACACTGGTGCCATGTCTCTCACCAGGTTTCCTTAGCTCTTGGGGAGTATTTTTGTGCATGAATAGTTGTTCAGACTGATGTTTCTGCAAGATGATGAGGCTTGGAAAGTCCTATTTGCAATTTCGTTGGCCTTGATTGTGTCTTTGGTTTTAATTTTGATGAATTCTGGTGATTCACTATACTCTGTAAACTTCTAAACATAAAAAAAAATTAAAAATAATAGCTAGGTACTATACAGACTCCAAGGTATGTGTGTGCTGGTGGTCATGCACATGTTACTAGTTGCTTAAAATATGCTCCTTTCTGATCAGTTTCTTGTGGATGTAGACAATGGTGACATTCCCATGGTATGTTCATTTATATGCATAGGAACGTGTGTCAGATTCACTCCACTGTCTTTCCTCACCCCATTCCTCCTCCCTTCCCTTCATTCCCATTCTGTCTACTTCACTGAACTCCTTTTCTTTTTTTTATTCACTCCCCCACACTTCATTGTGGATTAGCTTCCACATATGAGAGAAAACATTCAACCTTTGGCT